CACAAATTTGCCCTGGGCATTTTAACACAGCACAGCCCTATAGGGGGTGGGGTACTGCTTGAAGTTTAACCTTGTCTCAATGGACAAAATAGGCACAGTGTTAAAAGAAGGTGGAGTATGTGTGTGTTCTGTGTGTGGAAGCTGCCTGTGGTTATACGTGTGAGGAATGGCTCCTTATGGTAAGCCACCAGTCGTGTGGTTTGCATGTGTAGGGAAGCAGCTTGTGTGGTTGTGTGTGTAGATGGAGCAGTTTGTGATGTAGTGTATCTCTGGAGTGCATAGAGAGTGTAGTGTTTGTGTCTGTGGATAGGGGCTGTAGTGTGTGGTCTATAGAGGTTGTAATGCATTTGTGTGCATGAGGGATAGTATCTGTAGTGTATGTGCATGGGGGATGGGGACTGTAAGGTGTGTCCGTGGGTTTAGGAGCTGCAGTGGGGGTGGAGGGGCTGCAAGGGTCCTGTAGGAATGGGGGTAAAGACTGGAGGTAGTTAAAATAAACAAAATTAAAATTAAAAAAAATATATATATATATATATATTTATACATATTTATATTATTTTAAGAAAATGCTTATTCCCCTCTTACCTTGGACCAGGGATGAAGAACCCTGACCTGGTGATCCGGTGGGTTAAGCAGCTACTTTGAACCTTCCTCTCGCCTGCTGGCCTAGGACGTGCACTACAGAGCTTTGCTCAGGAGATCTGTATGGAGAGAGAGATTCCTGGGCACTCCGATCTGTAAGAAGACTTTATTTGGAAACTGGGTAAAACAACACTTTGCGTCTGCTATTGAGTCTTTATTAAACAGAGCCGAAACATTATTTTACTTAGTTTCCAAATAGTGTGCTCACAGAATTGAGTGACCAGGCATCTCTTTCTACATTCAACTTCCTGGAGACTGGCCCTCCCAACCTGGCTGCACCTTAGCTTACGTATCCCGTCTATTTTACCCTGTGTACAACCTCCTGTAGATTTCTATCTGAAGAGCTTGCTAATGGAAACTTCTAAGCAGGAGCTTCCAGCTCTCCTGACCACAGAGATTAGGCAGGAGTAATGTTCAGCAGTCCCCACACTGTAAGTTAAAATATTCTAAAATGGTTTGACTACATACAATGGGGCTGGGGGAAGGGCACTCCTGACACTATAACCACTACAGCCATACATGTATACAAATGAAGAACAAGGGCCTAAAAGCATACACACACAAACACACTTTAATTCCTCCCCCCCCTCCCCCCCAAAAAAGAAGAAGGAAGGTTGTATAGGCAGAAGATTAGAAGAAGACAATTAGGATATTTTCTGCTTTTCATTATTCAACTGTAATCCCCAAGACAGTGGTTCTGTCGCTGGTCTTGAGTGGGCTGTCTCATGTAGCAGAGATATTTTTCCCCGCTGCTCTTGCTCTTCACTGTGCTGTGTTTGGGAAGTAAGGTGGGAAAATGTGATGTCACATCAATTCCTTTGTCATTATCATCCAGTATGGCAAGGAGGAGAACAAGGGGATCAACAATAATTCTGTAGCGCTCCGATCGCCACTCCTTCCTCACTGCCAACACTGTGGAGTAACAGGGAGGATAATTAAACTGCAAGTATGTGTGTCAGGGGAGCCAGGTAGGGGAGAAATTATGATCTTTTGACAAAAGTTGAGCATTAGACCTTGTATTGTATCACCACTGTGTCCTGAATTTTCAAGTTCTGATATAAGCACTTTCCTGAATGAATGGACATGTTTTTGCATAGAAGAAATAAACCCTAGATGATGGGTCTGCTGGACCACTCTGACAAAACCTCAGGACAGAAATGCAGGTACTTAACACGAAAATATTCTTAAAGAGACACTATAGTCACCAAAACAACTATAGCTTCATGTAGTTGTTCTGGTGAATGCAGTGAGTCCCTGCAGGCATGTTCATGCAAACACTACATGTAAACAAGGCAGGGTTTACATTGTTGCCTAGGGACACCTTCCGTGGCAGTCACTCAGACAGTCACTAGAGGTGCTTCCTGGGTCATTGCTGCACAAGGTGCAGCACAGATGTTCAGCGTCACGTTGAACTTTCCCCACAGAGATACATTAATTAAATTGTTTATTTTTTTTTATTTTTACTGTATTTAAGGGGGCAAGGGAGTGTCTGGGGGCAAAAAAGTGTTTTTAACACTCTAGGGTCAGGAACACATGTTTGTGTTCCTGACCCTATAGTGTTCCTTTAAGTATAAATTTCAGAGGGCATCAAAAAAGCATCTCTTGAACTGTTTTTCCAAGCATTCATTCATCAATGAATCACATTAGTTTTATATATGAGAAAAGAAAACATCTACTAGTCTTAACTTTCACAATCAAATTGCGCAATTATAAAAGAAGAGGGGAATTATAAGAAGATTTAGCAAAAGCCCAATCAAGCCAGAGATATTGCTATGTGTATGAGATGTTGGATTTTCTAATTTGTATGTAGCCAGCAAGTGACCTTGGTGCTTTACAGATTCCACTACTGTATAAAATAGAGGAGGCGTAATCGGCATACACACGTTACAATAGAGGAGGCACAATACACGTAATAGTACAAAAGTATAACAACATAGATTATATGGTAGAGAGGTCACCGTTCCTTAGTCACCATTCCTTATACCTTAATGCAATTTGTGTGTAAATCAAGCAATTGTTATACTCTATCCCAGCCTTTGTTCATCTTTCAAAATTAGTGCACTCTAGCTGCATTCTTCCTCTTTTCAATGCAGCACGCAGAAATCAGACAGGCTAATAAAGTATTCACCAGGTAAAACATGGACAGATTCAACAGCTGGCATGGTGCGGCTCACACAGCAAACATAAATATGAGATGCGATTATGCTGGTGTGCAAGTAAAACAAAGGTCAGTGTAATCATTAGACGAGCTCTCACTGAAAAGACCGAAAATCTGACTTTTAATTATCTCTGTTTACAGCAGCAGGCACTGCCATAAAAAAGCAATGGAATAGCTGAGATGTGTCTACAATGCGCCCTATTCAATGCTTCTTAGGCAATGCATTATATGCATTCTAATCAGGAGAGAATTAAAAAAATCAAATAGGTAAAGCAACAACTCTATATGCGTCACTGTGATGCCAGTTAGTTGATCCATGTGTTAAAATACCACATCTACTCATCTACTTCTTGTTTCACCTATTAGCAATTTGCATATCTTTATTACCTCACTGCTCACATATTAGCTTACTGCGATTAAGAGCTTGTTCTTTTTTCTTTGAAAAAAAAAAAAAATTTGCAGCACCTCTTGACCTTATCTGTTTAAATATTGTTATTATACCTCTTGTCCTCAGTTATTAAGTCATTACGTAAGCTTGTACTTAACTCTGCACGACCAAAATACAGAATTTTAATATTTTTTTTTAAATACCGCATCTACAATGCATTATATATCTCATGTCATAAAGCATCTTAACAATATTGTACGTTTATATTAACCTATGTACCTTTTCCACCCTACCGAACTACCACCAAACTCCGTCAGAAACACCCATCAGATACAGTACCATAAACTGAGACACTACCTTATAGTGCATGGAATAACCATATATAATTAACCAACATGTATAATGTGTTGTCAGAGTATGAAAGATTTGGACGTAAATCACTATCTAAAAGTTTATCCCTGACTTTATGTTTTTAAAAATGTTTTTTTGTTTTGTTTTTTTAAACTACAATATTTTCATTCCAGGGATAAACACACCTCTAGAGGCTCTCTTCCTGATATCAACTATTGGCACTTCCCCTGTGAGAATGAATCAGACTTGGTCATATGACTTTGTCATAGGGAGCATTTGATTGGATGAGTGTGCTATTTTGCCATACGTGTATCTTGTCTCCAATACTTCTCTATGAGAAGCATTGTTATGGATGAGAACACAGAAGAACTCAGCATGCTTGCTGACAGAGGCAAAGGGGACAGCAGTAGTGGAGGTGTTTCGGCGCTGGAAATGAGGTTAATAAAATTTATTTAACTGAATTTTTTTTTTTTATGCGCAAAGGGGGTTGGACCGAGCTCAGAGCAATAGAAGGGAATTTATAGTCCCCCAAAAATGTATTATTTTTATAGATTATTATAGAAAGATTATTATTATAGACTACAGGTTCCCTTTAGTTTAGTGAATATAATCCATATGGCACAAAATGGAAATGAGACAACTAAATTGTACTTTGCACACTCATATTGGATAAATGGCTCAGTGTCCACGTATACAGGACTAACTACAATATATTTGAACTCCTTGGACATAAGGGCGCACATAACAGGAAAAGGATCATCCAGGCAACATTGGATTTGTAAGTCTGCTTAGACTTGGGTGAACTGTTCACCACAAACTTTCTTGCTTATGAATACATATATATGTATGCTTGAGAGATCCATGTTTTTAGATTTTAATCAAGTTATTTTAATAAAGAATTAAACAATTTAGTTGTCTCGTTTCCATTTTGCGCTATTTGGGTCATATTCACTAAACTACTATATCAAGGAGTATGAAGGATATCTCCTATCAAGAGCAGAATCAGGATCTGAGACATATAGATATATGTATATTTTTATATGTTTATTGAAAGTTATCTTCTGGTATGTACTATGTTTTAAGTGCTACTAATGTGTACAGTTTTTCTGTTTTAATGGTATGTAAAGCATAAGGTTGTTCTCATATATAGAATATAACCAGTTTACTTTATATTATATAGATAGCACGGTCCCTCAAAAAACCATAATAGTGGGGGCGGAGCCTGACCGCGACCGAAGATGGCTGCTTAGTCCGGCAGCTCTCTCTCCCCCGTGACCGCAATCCGCCACCATCAGCTACCTCGGCCGGGAAACGACCGGCGAAACAGGCGACCCAGCCCTCACAGACCCAGGCACTCTCTCCCCCATGCGAGGAGGAAAGAAGAAACAGGAGAAGACCCCCTCAGTGGCATCCATATTCTGCCCGCGGACCGCGCCAAATCCGCCATCTTGCCGCTCAGACATGGAGGGCTCTGACAAGGAGACTGCACACAACAGGTACCTGACCACAGCAGACTCCCCCTTAACTAAAAGGGACCTACAAAACCTACTGCAGGAAGCCACTGCAGAAATTAAAGCACACACAAAGGCTGAACTGAACCGCCAAATTCAGTCCCTTAAAGCTGACCTAGAGGCCCTGTCACACCGCACAGACCATGCAGAGGCCAAACTCACTAAACTGGCTGACACCACCTCCTCTCACTCCCAAGATATCACCTACCTACATGGCAAAATGGCAGCACTTGAAGAAGAGATAGAAGAGATAGAAGACCTTAATAATAGGTCCAGAAGGAATAATATCAGGGTGAGGGGACTACCAGAAACGGTAACTAATGACCAGCTACAGGCCTCCCTCACCGACCTCTTTAACACGCTACTACCAGAGGCCACGCAGCACGACCTCGCAATGGACAGAGCGCACAGGGCGCTTAGACCTCTGGCGCTGAACCCAGACACCCCTAGGGATGTAATAGTGCGGATGCACCGTTTCCCCATTAAGGAGCAATTGGTCCGACAAGCCAGACAAAATCCCCCAACTTTCCAACAGCAGACCATAGCCCTTTATCAGGACCTGGCGCCTTCGACTCTCAAGAAAAGGAGAGATCTGCGACAATTGACGAACACCCTCAACCACCACAGCATACGATACATGTGGGGACACCCCTTCAAGCTGCTGGTCCGCAGAGAAAACCAGACGCACATACTATCGAATGCGGCGGAGATGATCCCCTTCGCAGAGTCCCTAGGCCTCACGCTTCTACCTCTACAACCGAATAGACCACCTGGCCCCAGAGGGAGACGTCAGGAACCCATCAGCCATTCACCTCGACGCACACCGAGGAAAAGAGCACCCCCAAGACCACAAGACGGCAGCCCACAGCGGCATTAAGATCCTGTCAAGATTCCCGCAGAGACTCTCACTCCCAGGACACTTTTACCGCCATTACGCTATATGGCCCTCGCTCATATCCTTTTTTTTTTTTGTACTACTGTGCTCTTTTAATATGCTTTCTGTTGTTTTTTTTTTGTTTTGTTTTTTGCATCTTAAACCCTTATCTTGTTTGACAAACCTGGGGCACGAGGGGGGGGGGCAGAAAAGAGGGAAAAGAGACGGGTAAGAGAAAGGGGGGGGGAGAAAGTGGAGGAAAAAAAAAAAAGAGAGAGGAAAAGCGGGGGAAAGAGATTGGGAAAGGGACGTAGAGGACTCCCCCAGGCCTACGTTTAACCAGGGCACCTAACCCACCCCGGACCGTCGTTACATCTCCAATGACATATTTTAAAGCAACAACCAAAGCAGAAATAGGGAAGGGGGGGGGGAGGGAATAAATCAACAAAGGGAAAAAAAAAAAGAAAAGAACAGGAAAGGGAAAAAGAGAAAGGCCTATACCCCAAAGAGGCACAGTTGCTTAGACACAACAGGAGGGGAACAGACGAGGCCGTAGGGGGAGGGCCAAGGGGAGGGGGACAGCGATAGGCCACGACCATAGCAGTCACCCCGGGCGGGAGCGGGAGCTTTTCAGCAACATGGTCCATATAGGGCCCTATAGGGAAATAGAAGACGAGACCCCCCGAGACAGGCTGGGGAGACCCCGCACCCCCCCGGGCTCCCTCCCCCCGACGACGACAGCATGGACGACAGGCCCCACCTCGGTTCACGAACGATGCCCGCCCACCCCCCCAGACAAACACCCCCTCCCGCAAGGACACAATGGAAGATAGGTGACTATTAGACTACACCTGAGGAGACAAGGGAGCACTTCCCACCTTTTGAGAGACACTCTGCACATCGCTTCAAATAACCTAAACATGAGGGGTATTAAATCTTCTTTTTTTTCTTGTTTGTATATAGTTCCGAACTCGCCCAGACGGACACTCCACAAGCCCTCGACAGAGAGCCAAAGTACATCAGACAAAACTCCAGGTACACAAGGTAACACATCACGGGGGGGGAGAGAAGTGGACGTGACCATCCTTCCTCTTCTCTTCTCACCCCTCACACACACCACACGATACCCACCCCCAGAAGGGTGAACCGAATCACATCCTCAACCCCCACATCACCCACCCGCCCACCAAGCTTGGCACGCACATCGTAAGACCAAGCCCATTTAGTACCCTCCCCCCACACCCCCCCCTGACCCCCTCCCCGACCCCGCACGCCGAGAGCAAAAGCCGTAGCGATACAATGCCAACTGCCACACTAACCTGTGTCTCGATTAACTGCAAGGGCCTGAACAGCCCGAACAAACGGCATCGAGTCCTCCGATGGGCCACCAGAACTAAGGCAGACGTCCTCCTCCTGCAGGAGACGCACTTTGAGCAAAGCAGGCCCTTCCCGCTACGTAACAGACACTATACAGAGTGCCATCAGGCAAACTCACCCCAAGGAAAGCATAACGGGGTGGCCATCCTCATTCGCAAAACCTGCCCCATACAATTCTCCAACGCAGCCTCAGACCCCCAAGGGCGGTTCCTCACTGTAACGGGCCACCTAGGCCCAAATAAATACGCAATCACATCGGTATACGCCCCAACGGCACCACACGCACACTTCTGGACAGCCCTACAGGCCCACCTGGCGCTATTCCCTGCCCACCACAAGGTGGTGGGGGGCGATTTTAACGCGGTGCTTTCACCGTCCAGTGACAGACGCAGAACTCAAAACCGGGGACTGGCACCCCCACCAGAGGCAAAAACAGACAAATTACTCAATTCTTTCTTAACAAGCACAAATCTAGTAGACATGTGGAGAACACAACATCCACAAACATTGGACTACACGTTCTTTTCCCATCCACACAAGTCCTACTCACGTATAGACATGTTCCTGACCTCCCCATCCCTAATGCAACACACAGACAGGATAGAGATAGGACAAATCACGTGGTCAGACCATGCGGACATTACCATAACTATACAGCTTCCAAACACGACCAAACAATGGGCTTGGCGGCTAAACCCTACGCTACTCCACATTCCACACATCAAAGACACAATTGACGCAGCAATAAAAGACTTCTTTACCAATAATACAGGCTCGGTAACCTCGGTAGGCACATTATGGGCAGCACACAAAGCTGTCATTAGAGGCAGCCTTATCTCAGCGGCCTCGGCCCACAAAAAGGAGAAACTATCTAGACTACACCAACACCTCACCGCACTCCGCAAGGCGGAACACGCGCATAAACAAAACCCCACCCCCGTCTTACAACAACAGCTACAGGTACACAAACAAGCGATCCAGGAGTTTATGGCCCAAGACTCGAAAAAAGCACTGCTCTGGACACGGCAGATGTTTTACGAGAAATCCAACAAAGCAGACTCACTCCTAGCCAACAGACTTAAAAAGAAAAGACAACGGAACCGAATAACCTTGATTAATACACCGGACGGCCAAACACAAAACCTCCCCGAACAGATAGCAGAAACCTTTACTCAATTTTATACCTCCCTTTATGACCATGACCCCCAATCTCGACACGACGCACAAGACACAGAGGTAGCCATAACACGATACTTACAAAGCATACCGCTACCGCAACTCACTGATGAAGCACGAGAGTCATTAGCAGCAGAAGTTACAATCGAGGAGGTGACAGAGACGATTAAGGCTCTACAACCTAACAAATGCCCGGGCCCCGACGGCTACTCGGGATTATATTACAAAACATTCTCTGCAACCTTAATCCCACATCTTAGCGAGCTCTACACATCGATCCTCAAAGGAGAACCGCTCCCAGCGGAAATGCTCCAAGCTAATATTAGCCTAATACCAAAACCGAATAAATCCCTACAAGAACCAGGACACTACCGTCCCATCTCACTCCTAAACGTAGACGTTAAATTATTTACCAAGCTTATTGCGAACAGACTTAAACATTTTCTCCCGAAACTGATTCACCCAGACCAAGTAGGCTTTATTCCCAACAGACAGGCCTACGACAACACAAGACGCACCTATGACCTAATCTGGACGGCCAACCGCAGACAGATCCCGACGCTACTACTATCCCTAGACGCCGAAAAGGCATTTGACAGGATCCTCTGGCCATATTTATTTGCTGTCCTGACGAGGTTCGGCTTCCCCAGGGCCCTATTACAGGCAATTCGCACCCTCTACACCAACCCGACAGCGCGACTACTAATACCAAATGCCCGCCAAGCCCCGTTCCACATACGTAACGGCACCCGGCAGGGGTGCCCCCTGTCCCCCCTCCTCTTTGCCCTCTCCCTTGAACCCCTCTTGCAACAGATCCGCAATACACCTGCCATACAAGGCATAAAAATAAGAAGGGAAGAATACAAAGTGGCAGCATATGCTGACGACTTGCTTCTAACCCTGACTGACCCAGGGACTTCCCTACCCCCACTGTTAGACTTACTAGAGGCATACGCCAAAATCTCAGGGTACAAACTCAACATAGAGAAAACTGAAGCCCTAACAATCCAAACCCCACCCACACGCGAACACTACTGCAACAAAACTACCCGTTTCGCTTCCAAACGCAAAGTATCCGTTATCTAGGAACAGAGATACCAGCAGACCTACATTCCACATACAGGCTAAACTACCCCCCATTAATCGACCAGGCCCTGAGAGACCTGCAAACCTGGCAAAAATTATCCATCTCATGGCTTGGGAGGCTGGCAGCGATTAAAATGAACTTACTGCCACGTTTTCTCTATCTCTTCCAGACCCTCCCCATCCCACTCTCACGAGCAGACTTCAAAAATCTCCAAATGCACATTGATAAATTTATTTGGGCGGGGAAAAGAGCTAGAGTAAAACGAATTACCCTGTATATCCCACACAAAAAAGGGGGACTAGGCCTGCCAAATTTCTGGGACTACCACCAAGCATCCCAACTTGCACAAATCCAATCCATGCACGCCCCCCCAGGGGTCAAGCGCTGGGTGGACCTGGAACACGACCTATTCGGACGAGATCTGCCAACACTCTACCTATGGATACCAAAAACACACAGACCACAACAGCCCAACACGACACCAGCCCTCACGACAGCCATCCACATCTGGAACAGGGCGACCGACAAATACAACCTCATAAATACTCCCTCACCCCTTATGCCTGTGCTGAGGAACCCTCAATTCACCCCGGGAATGACGCCCCAACATTTCACCAGGTACGAGGACAACGACCTTACGAGAATCTGTCATTTTTATAGGAACGACCGCCTTATCCCCTTCCCAGAATTGCCAAACGCCACACCATATAACACGTTTGACCACTTTAGATACCTCCAACTCCGAAGCTTCCTGTCAACCCCTACCATAGCCGCTGCGGCGGTGTTGAAACCCACTGCATTCGAAAGGGACTGCCTGCGCAACCCAATACACAAGGGCCAAATCTCCAACCTATATAACCTCATAACACTTAAAACCCCACCTGACGCCCTCTCCTACGTAAAGGCCTGGGAAAGGGATCTTGGTCCCCCGGGGGACCCCTCGGACTGGGCTGACATATGGGAAGCAACAGCGACAGTGACTATCTGTGTTAACCACAGAGAGCAGGCGTATAAGACCCTGCTCCGGTGGTACCTCACCCCCCTGAGACTCAAACAAATGAAACGCACAGACTCGGACAGATGCTGGAAGGGATGTGGCGAAAAGGGAACATACATTCACGTGTGGTGGCATTGTCAACACTTAACTCAAATATGGAAAGAGATGGCCGCTGCCACCTCGAGAGCATTACAAACGGACATCCCCCTAGACCCATGGACCTGGCTGCTGTCCAGGCCCCTAGAAAACCTGACCCGAGCACAAAACAAACTAGTAGCAAAGGTGGCCCTAGCAACGCGTAGAACTATAGCCACCCACTGGGGCAGCCCAGAAATTCCAACAGCCTCGGAGGCCCAGAGAAAGATT